AGCCAAATTCCCCAGTTAAATCCAGTGAGTTTTTGCACTGTATAGACTGTGGGGCATTGCTTAAGCGAAAGTCGCTGTGGAGGCATGTGGCCAGGTGCCGGCTTTCACAGAAAGATGCCCAGGCTAAACCAGGCTAAACCAGGTAGAAGTAGGGTCCAGTCCCTCTGCTCCCTAGCCCAGCCTGTACCGGAGGGCATCAGCAAAAAGCTGTGGTCTTTAATTTCGGCAATGCATCAGGATGAGGTCACGGGTGTTGTCAAAGCAGAAAAGGGGATTCTGAGACTCGGAGAGCACCTGTACTTAAAACACGGGCATGATAAGACTAAGCATGATTACATTAGGCAGAAAATGAGAGAAGTCGGTAGGTTAATTAACGAAGCAAAAACCGCAGGGAAACTGAAAACAATTAAGGATTTCTTTATTCCTTCCAACTTTAACCATGTGATTGATGCAGTCAGGTCTGTGGCTGGATATGATGAGGAAACAAATCAATACAAGACTCCATCCTTGGCCCTCAAACTCGGCCATAGCCTCAGAAAGCTAGCAGATATTCTTGAATGTGACTCAAAAATGGAGCATTGTGTTGATGAACTATTTATTAAAAACCTCCAACGAAGCCGGCTGCTTTTTGAGAAGAGGTGGGACGTCTGTGTTTCTTCTGCTGCCCTACAGACCCTCCGGCAAGCCAAGTGGAACACTCCGGACCTGCTCCCTCTGACTGAGGACGTTAGAGCCATGCATGCACATATTGAGGTATGTCGACCTGAATATGTGCAAACCCTAATAAGTGAGCCAATGTCTAAGCATTGGTCTAAACTGGCAGTTTTGACTCTTTGTGAGGTCATCATTTTCAATCGAAGAAGGGAAGGTGAGGTTTCAAAGATGCCACTGACAGCCTTTACCTTAAGAAGTAAGACTGGGATCCATTCTGACATTGCTCTGGGACTGTCCCAACTTGAGAAAAAGCTGTGTCAGCATTTTCAACGCATTGACATTAAAGGGAAAAGAAGTCGGAAAGTGCCGGTTCTTTTGACTCCTGAAATGATTGCTTCGATGGAGGTGCTGGTGGAGAACAGAAGGGCCTGTTCCATCTCTGACCATAACCCATACTTCTTTTCCCGCCCGGGCGCAGACACCCACATCAGGGGATCAGACTCCCTACGCCAGGTAGCCAAAGAATGTGGTGCGGTGCATCCAGAGATGCTATCCTCAACCAAACTTAGAAAGCACATAGCTACTATGTCTACAGTTCTCAATATGAAAGAGAATGAGATGGACATACTTGCCAACTTCCTCGGCCATGACATTCGCATCCACAGGCAATATTACAGACTACCAGAGGGGACACTGGAGCTGGCCAAAATCAGCAAAGTGTTGATGGCCATGGAGCAGGGAAAGTGACGGAATTCAAAGGAAAGAGCCTCGACCAGATACAAATTGAGCCTGAAGGTAATTCTTGATATTATTAAAATATGTATGATTTTTTTCCCCTAAAGGCCACTTGTATTTTTATTTTCTGTGCGACAGGGAGAGCAGTAGAGATCCTCTCACAAACGGACGGGCTAAAAGAAACTTCAAGCGGAGAACCTTCAACCATTCATCCAGATGCACCCCATGGTAGTGGCAGTGCCCCTTCTGGTAAGTGTACCAGGTGGGGGATTACAGCCAGGCTGCTTGGTCCTAACCCTGGGAGTGTATATTGCTAATATATTTTTATTTCTCTCCCTAGAACGTGTAAGAAAGCCATGGTCTGCATCTGAGGTGAAGGCTGTGGAGAAGACCATGACACCTTTCATACAGACTGGAAAGGTCCCTGGGAAGTCTCACTGCCTGGCCTGCATTAATGCCTCACCAGATGACCTTAGACATCGGACATGGAGTGGCATTAAATTCTATGTCAAAAATAGAATCACTGCAATTCGAAAAAAAAATCTAAAATAAAATTCCTTTAAAATAGTTGTTTGGTTTCTATTGACTGTTTTGTATTACTTAAAGTAGTCCAAGTAAAAAAAGATTATGTCTATGGGTCCCATTCTGAACGGCCCTGTCAAAGGGACCCACCAGGTAACAAAAACGTGTATGTGTGTGTGTGTGCGCGTGTGTGTCTGTGTGTGAGTGTCTGTGAGTGTGTGTGAGTGTGTGTGTGTGTGTGTGTCCAGGGCTGGACTGGGACAAAAAAACGGCCCGGGCATTTTTTCCTTCTTAGCGGCCCAGGCAACTCAAAAGGTTCAAGGAGCCATATTTGACAACAACAGCCTTGTATAAGGCTTATATGAAGGTAACAGGGGCTGAAGATACATTAGCTACATTAGCTACCTTAGCTAAATTAGCTATATTAGCCTAATATCTAAATGACAAAGTAAAGTCTAAACACATAGAAACCATCCATGATTATCAAATGTGTATTTTCATTGTAGCGTGTCCTGGAGAGAATGACGCACCACGTGGCAACTCTGCTTTAACTTTAACCTTCATGCAATTGTACAAATACAGTAAATAAATCTGCTTTTTGTCTCCGAGTTCACCTGCAGCACTGTCTGTTCATATCCATCACAGGCTGAAGTTTGCTGGAGCTGAATGTCCTTAATGGCCTTTTCTTTCACCGTCTTTGCAAAGGTTTTTGAAGTCTGAAAATAGGTGCTCTGACTTTATGATGAATGAATCTTTCAGTGAACAGTGTTTAAAGCTTCATTGTTCCTCCTGTTGCAACAAAACGTTTCATTACAAACATGAAGCAGTCCTTCCTCATTGACTGAAAGAAAATGTTCATTCTCATTCTTAGTCCAGTCTTATCGACTCTCTCTCTCTATCTCTCTCTCTCTTTATCTTTGGGATCCATGCACACACAGTCTATGATGCACACACGGCGGTTTGTCGCGTCACAGGATATGACGCACTACGTTGACAGAAATGCTAAAATTGAATATTACTTATACAAGTTTTTGCAGCATTGAAAAACGTTAAGAATGTTTTTCCTTCTACAGAAACCACATTGAAACTAGAAATAAAACTCCATTTTCAGACATTTTTGAAAAGGCTCCAGGAGCCACTTTAGGGGCACTAAAGGTTGCCGACCCCTGGTTTATACAGTATGTGGAAGCAAATACTGTAGAGGATCAGGATGTCTGCAGTTTCAACAATAAAATAAAGTACAATAGTCTACATTAAACAGAGTAATAAACATGTCTCAGAGTGAGGGAGGTGGGCACAGACAACACTATTGTTTGTTACAGGGATGAGAATTGGTCAAAAATGTCTGAAATGCATAATGTCAGCCATTTGCTGGCTCTAAATCTGTTTAATCTGTTCCAACATTTTACTAGTTTTGGGCTCAAACATGAGCTTTTAATGCAATGGAAAATGTAGGTACCCGAGCTTTAATTTAGAGGAGAGGGGAGACGCGGACTGTTTTATGCAGCGGTGTATTTATTGGGTGCACAAATTACGCAAAGACACGCATGGTCCTGTGCGCGTTTATGGTCTTGGGTACATGGTCACGTTGCGGCTGCGCGCTCACCGTGTTGTGTTGTGAGCGGCTCCCGGTGAGCGGTTCCTGCGTCCAGCTCAGAGCCGCTGGATGCGGGAACACTGCGGCCGCTGAGGTGGTAGAATCCCGTTTTAGTACATACTGTACAGCAGGTGCCCCGCGGACACGCGCGCCCCCTCGAACAGTTCTCAACGGATTTACACTTTTCACAAACTTCGGGCATTGCCCGGTACGCCCGATGGCCAGTCCAGCCCTGTGTGTGTCTGTGAGTGTGTGTGTGTGTGTGTGTGTGTCTGTGAGTGTGTGTGAGTGTGTGTGTGTGTGTGTGTGTGTCTGTGAGTGTGCAGCTGCTCGAGTGTCGAGGACCATTAACACAATCATATTTTCTCTGTACAGTAACTGAAAGCTGCTCCTTGAGAGAACAAACCCTGCATGGCTCACTGCGAGCCGCACTCACCTGTGTCAGTGTCAGTGTGCGGGGTGTGTGTGTGCGGTGTGTGTGTGTGTGGTGTGTGTGTGTGTGGTGTGGTGTGTGCGGGGTGTGGTGTGGTGTGTGGTGTGTAGTGTACATCCTCCAGGCTTCTACAGTGTATCTGAGCCGTGACTTCTGACCACCGCAGCTGCAGATACAGCCTTCTCTACCTCCTCTACCTCCTCTGCCTCCTCTGCCTCCTCTGCCTCCTCTGCCTCCTCTGCCTCCTCTGCCTCCTCTACCTCCTCTGCCTCCTCTGCCTCCTCTACCTCCTCTGCCTCCTCTGCCTCCTCTGCCTCCTCTAACTCCTCTTTCTCTCTGCCTCCTCCGCCTCCTCTGCCTCCTCTGCCTCCTCTAACTCCTCTTTCTCTCCGCCTCCTCCGCCTCCTCTGCCTCCTCTGCCTCCTCTGCCTCCTCTGCCTCCTCTGCCTCCTCTAACTCCTCTGCCTCCTCTGCCTCCTCTAACTCCTCTTTCTCTCCGCCTCCTCCGCCTCCTCTGCCTCCTCTGCCTCCTCTGCCTCCTCTAACTCCTCTTTCTCTCCGCCTCCTCAGCCTCCTCTGCCTTCTCTGCCTCCTCTGCCCCCTCTGCCTCCTCTGCCTCCTCTGCCTCCTCTGCCTCCTCTGCCTCCTCTACCTCCTCTGCCTCCTCTGCCTCCTCTGCCTCCTCTGCCTCCTCTGCCTCCTCTGCCTCCTCTAACTCCTCTTTCTCTCCGCCTCCTCCGCCTCCTCTGCCTCCTCTGCCTCCTCTGCCTCCTCTAACTCCTCTTTCTCTCCGCCTCCTCCGCCTCCTCTGCCTCCTCTGCCTCCTCTGCCTCCTCTGCCCCCTCTGCCTCCTCCGCCTCCTCTGCCTCCTCCGCCTCCTCTGCCTCCTCTGCCCCCTCTAACTCCTCTTTCTCTCCGCCTCCTCAGGCTCCTCTGCCTCCTCTGCCTCCTCAGCCTCCTCTGCCTCCTCCACCTCCTCTGCCTCCTCCACCTCCTCTGCCTCCTCTGCCTCCTCTGCCTCCTCTGCCTCCTCTGCCCCCTCTGCCTCCTCTGCCCCCTCTAACTCCTCTTTCTCTCCGCCTCCTCAGCCTCCTCTGCCTCCTCAGCCTCCTCTGCCTCCTCCACCTCCTCTGCCTCCTCCACCTCCTCTGCCTCCTCTGCCTCCTCTGCCTCCTCTGCCCCCTCTGCCTCCTCTGCCTCCTCTGCCTCCTCTGCCCCCTCTGCCTCCTCCACCTCCTCTGCCTCCTCCACCTCCTCTGCCTCCTCCACCTCCTCTGCCTCCTCAGCCTCCCCTGCCTCCTCCACCTCCTCAGCCTCCTCCTCCTCCTTTGAAACACACGCTGACTGAACAACTTTATGGAAATCAACAAATCCCTCAAGGAAAGAACACAGACAAAAGCTGCTGCGTGGATTATGTTTCTGCTCTTCTATTGAATTTAGATGGCTTTATTAACTCCTGACTGAGGCTTAGTGGAATCCATGTGTGACTTATTTGAATACATACTGCTCTTATGAATTATGAATGTTGCAGATGGAACAGAGGTGTGATGGCGGATACACGGTCAGCACTTCTCTAATGACTTCATCTGTGTCTGCAGCTGGATCATTACCATGTTAAACTCACAAACTCCTGTGTCTGCATCAGGGAGAAGAGAGTGGTCATTAATGGGACTGTGTTCAGAGGTTTCTCCTTTTCTTTCAAGTTTGACGTTAGTTTTTATTTAAAACAATAGAACCGTGCAGAGATGTGTCCTGGAATATAAGAAACACCTCACATACAAAGACCAGACGTCAACACTGTTAATAAGGTATGATTCAAAACAAGGAATTATGTCTCCGAGCTCCAAGAAATGCTCGACAGCTCCTGACATTTTGTTGCTCCGCTCTGTGCTGACAGAGAGAGTTCAAACAGGGCCTTTCTATAACTCATAATCCACTCTGTGGAGAAATGACTCGTGAACAATAACACAAAGTGTTGGCAACTGGCGTTCTATTCTTATATTAATGACTAGGACCATTAAACGTTCATGCTCCACAATGATCCTACCATCAGTGGCACCAGAGAGAGAGTACATCCTCCTGTCTGACCAGAGAGAGAGTACAGCCTCCTGTCTGACCAGAGAGAGAGTACAGCCTCCTGTCTAACCAGAGAGAGAGTACAGCCTCCTGTCTAACCAGAGAGAGTACAGCCTCCTGTCTGACCAGAGAGAGAGTACATCCTCCTGTCTGACCAGAGAGAGAGTACAGCCTCCTGTCTAACCAGAGAGAGAGTACAGCCTCCTGTCTGACCAGAGAGAGTACAGCCTCCTGTCTAACCAGAGAGAGTACAGCCTCCTGTCTAACCAGAGAGAGAGTACAGCCTCCTGTCTAACCAGAGAGAGAGTACAGCCTCCTGTCTGACCAGAGAGAGAGTACATCCTCCTGTCTAACCAGAGAGAGAGTACATCCTCCTGTCTGACCAGAGAGAGAGTACAGCCTCCTGTCTAACCAGAGAGAGAGTACAGCCTCCTGTCTAACCAGAGAGAGAGTACAGCCTCCTGTCTGACCAGAGAGAGAGTACAGCCTCCTGTCTGACCAGAGAGAGTACAGCCTCCTGTCTGACCAGAGAGAGAGTACAGCCTCCTGTCTGACCAGAGAGAGAGTACAGCCTCCTGTCTAACCAGAGAGAGAGTACATCCTCCTGTCTAACCAGAGAGAGTACAGCCTCCTGTCTAACCAGAGAGAGTACAGCCTCCTGTCTGACCAGAGAGAGAGTACATCCTCCTGTCTAACCAAAGAGAGAGTACAGCCTCCTGTCTAACCAGAGAGAGTACAGCCTCCTGTCTGACCAGAGAGAGTACAGCCTCCTGTCTAACCAGAGAGAGTACAGCCTCCTGTCTAACCAGAGAGAGTACAGCCTCCTGTCTGACCAGAGAGAGAGTACATCCTCCTGTCTGACCAGAGAGAGTACAGCCTCCTGTCTAACCAGAGAGAGTACAGCCTCCTGTCTGACCAGAGAGAGAGTACAGCCTCCTGTCTGACCAGAGAGAGAGTACATCCTCCTGTCTAACCAGAGAGAGTACAGCCTCCTGTCTAACCAGAGAGAGAGTACAGCCTCCTGTCTGACCAGAGAGAGAGTACAGCCTCCTGTCTGACCAGAGAGAGAGTACAGCCTCCTGTCTGACCAGAGAGAGAGTACAGCCTCCTGTCTAACCAGAGAGAGTACAGCCTCCTGTCTAACCAGAGAGAGTACAGCCTCCTGTCTGACCAGAGAGAGAGTACATCCTCCTGTCTAACCAGAGAGAGAGTACAGCCTCCTGTCTAACCAGAGAGAGAGTACAGCCTCCTGTCTAACCAGAGAGAGAGTACAGCCTCCTGTCTAACCAGAGAGAGAGTACAGCCTCCTGTCTGACCAGAGAGAGAGTACAGCCTCCTGTCTGACCAGAGAGAGTACATCCTCCTGTCTAACCAGAGAGAGAGTACAGCCTCCTGTCTGACCAGAGAGAGAGTACAGCCTCCTGTCTAACCAGAGAGAGAGTACAGCCTCCTGTCTAACCAGAGAGAGTACAGCCTCCTGTCTGACCAGAGAGAGAGTACATCCTCCTGTCTGACCAGAGAGAGAGTACAGCCTCCTGTCTAACCAGAGAGAGAGTACAGCCTCCTGTCTAACCAGAGAGAGAGTACAGCCTCCTGTCTAACCAGAGAGAGTACAGCCTCCTGTCTAACCAGAGAGAGAGTACATCCTCCTGTCTAACCAGAGAGAGTACAGCCTCCTGTCTGACCAGAGAGAGAGTACAGCCTCCTGTCTGACCAGAGAGAGAGTACAGCCTCCTGTCTGACCAGAGAGAGTACAGCCTCCTGTCTGACCAGAGAGAGAGTACAGCCTCCTGTCTAACCAGAGAGAGAGTACAGCCTCCTGTCTGACCAGAGAGAGAGTACAGCCTCCTGTCTGACCAGAGAGAGAGTACAGCCTCCTGTCCGACCAGAGAGAGAGTACAGCCTCCTGTCTAACCAGAGAGAGAGTACAGCCTCCTGTCTAACCAGAGAGAGAGTACAGCCTCCTGTCTGACCAGAGAGAGAGTACAGCCTCCTGTCTAACCAGAGAGAGAGTACAGCCTCCTGTCTAACCAGAGAGAGAGTACAGCCTCCTGTCTGACCAGAGAGAGTACAGCCTCCTGTCTAACCAGAGAGAGAGTACAGCCTCCTGTCTAACCAGAGAGAGAGTACAGCCTCCTGTCTAACCAGAGAGAGAGTACAGCCTCCTGTCTAACCAGAGAGAGTACATCCTCCTGTCTAACCAGAGAGAGAGTACATCCTCCTGTCTGACCAGAGAGAGAGTACAGCCTCCTGTCTAACCAGAGAGAGTACATCCTCCTGTCTAACCAGAGAGAGAGTACATCCTCCTGTCTGACCAGAGAGAGAGTACAGCCTCCTGTCTAACCAGAGAGAGAGTACAGCCTCCTGTCTGACCAGAGAGAGTACAGCCTCCTGTCTGACCAGAGAGAGAGTACAGCCTCCTGTCTGACCAGAGAGAGAGTACAGCCTCCTGTCTAACCAGAGAGAGAGTACAGCCTCCTGTCTGACCAGAGAGAGAGTACAGCCTCCTGTCTAACCAGAGAGAGAGTACAGCCTCCTGTCTAACCAGAGAGAGAGTACAGCCTCCTGTCTGACCAGAGAGAGAGTACAGCCTCCTGTCTAACCAGAGAGAGAGTACAGCCTCCTGTCTGACCAGAGAGAGAGTACAGCCTCCTGTCTGACCAGAGAGAGTACAGCCTCCTGTCTAACCAGAGAGAGAGTACATCCTCCTGTCTAACCAGAGAGAGTACAGCCTCCTGTCTGACCAGAGAGAGAGTACAGCCTCCTGTCTAACCAGAGAGAGAGTACAGCCTCCTGTCTAACCAGAGAGAGTACAGCCTCCTGTCTAACCAGAGAGAGAGTACATCCTCCTGTCTAACCAGAGAGAGTACAGCCTCCTGTCTGACCAGAGAGAGAGTACAGCCTCCTGTCTGACCAGAGAGAGAGTACAGCCTCCTGTCTGACCAGAGAGAGTACAGCCTCCTGTCTGACCAGAGAGAGAGTACAGCCTCCTGTCTAACCAGAGAGAGAGTACAGCCTCCTGTCTGACCAGAGAGAGAGTACAGCCTCCTGTCTGACCAGAGAGAGAGTACAGCCTCCTGTCTAACCAGAGAGAGAGTACAGCCTCCTGTCTAACCAGAGAGAGAGTACAACCTCCTGTCTGACCAGACAGAGAGTACAGCCTCCTGTCTAACCAGAGAGAGAGTACAGCCTCCTGTCTAACCAGAGAGAGAGTACAGCCTCCTGTCTGACCAGAGAGAGTACAGCCTCCTGTCTAACCAGAGAGAGAGTACAGCCTCCTGTCTAACCAGAGAGAGTACATCCTCCTGTCTAACCAGAGAGAGAGTACAGCCTCCTGTCTGACCAGAGAGAGAGTACAGCCTCCTGTCTAACCAGAGAGAGAGTACAGCCTCCTGTCTGACCAGAGAGAGTACAGCCTCCTGTCTGACCAGAGAGAGAGTACAGCCTCCTGTCTGACCAGAGACAGAGTACAGCCTCCTGTCTAACCAGAGAGAGAGTACAGCCTCCTGTCTAACCAGAGAGAGAGTACAGCCTCCTGTCTGACCAGAGAGAGAGTACAGCCTCCTGTCTGACCAGAGAGAGAGTACAGCCTCCTGTCTGACCAGAGAGAGAGTACAGCCCTCCTGTCTGACCAGAGAGAGAGTACAGCCTCCTGTCTGACCAGAGAGAGAGTACAGCCTCCTGTCTGACCAGAGAGAGAGTACAGCCTCCTGTCTAACCAGAGAGAGAGTACAGCCTCCTGTCTGACCAGAGAGAGAGTACAGCCTCCTGTCTGACCAGAGAGAGAGTACAGCCTCCTGTCTGACCAGAGAGAGTACAGCCTCCTGTCTGACCAGAGAGAGAGTACAGCCTCCTGTCTAACCAGAGAGAGAGTACAGCCTCCTGTCTGACCAGAGAGAGAGTACAGCCTCCTGTCTGACCAGAGAGAGAGTACAGCCTCCTGTCTGACCAGAGAGAGAGTACAGCCTCCTGTCTAACCAGAGAGAGAGTACAGCCTCCTGTCTAACCAGAGAGAGAGTACAGCCTCCTGTCTGACCAGAGAGAGAGTACAGCCTCCTGTCTAACCAGAGAGAGAGTACAGCCTCCTGTCTAACCAGAGAGAGAGTACAGCCTCCTGTCTAACCAGAGAGAGAGTACAGCCTCCTGTCTGACCAGAGAGAGAGTACAGCCTCCTGTCTGACCAGAGAGAGAGTACAGCCTCCTGTCTAACCAGAGAGAGAGTACAGCCTCCTGTCTAACCAGAGAGAGAGTACAGCCTCCTGTCTGACCAGAGAGAGAGTACAGCCTCCTGTCTGACCAGAGAGAGAGTACAGCCTCCTGTCTGACCAGAGAGAGAGTACAGCCTCCTGTCTGACCAGAGAGAGAGTACAGCCTCCTGTCTGACCAGAGAGAGAGTACAGCCTCCTGTCTGACCAGAGAGAGAGTACAGCCTCCTGTCTAACCAGAGAGAGAGTACAGCCTCCTGTCTGACCAGAGAGAGAGTACAGCCTCCTGTCTGACCAGAGAGAGAGTACAGCCTCCTGTCTGACCAGAGAGAGAGTACAGCCTCCTGTCTGACCAGAGAGAGAGTACATCCTCCTGTCTGAC